TATATATATATATATATATATATATATGTTTTGTTCGTAAACATATGCTGTGATTTAGAGTGGGGTAAGAACATGGTTCATATGGGAATATTCAAGGATCTATTTGCATATTTCTATGCTCTAACTAATTAAACTATTGATGAAAAATCAAAGAAAAGTGCAAATTAAGCAAAGACATAATTATTAATTAAACCACCATTTTTGTTTTTATTATCACTATAAGTAGAATCCAATTACTTATATATCATTTTTATATAAAATTTTAATCATTTATCTTTTTACTTTAAATAATTAAGATTTATGATGATTTTTGAGATGAAAAAGATAATTATTTTTAATAAATATGATAAAAAATAAATAAATACGTTTCAACTATTGAAAATAAAGAAATGGATTATCAAGATTTTGTATATGTGTGGTGCATAAAATATATAAATGAATCTTAACTCTATTAGTATTTATTTTTATTAAGTGAGAGAATGATATCCTATTGAAATAATACAACATATGTGGCTTAAATAGAAAAGAACTTACATCACTTATTATCTATTTGTTTTAAGTTAAATTCATTTTGTTTTATTCAGAATATATATATATATATATATAAATATTCATTTTGTGTTTCAATCATGTTAAAAATTTTTCAATATTGATAATAGAGCAATACTTTGATGTCTTTCTATTTCCAATTAACTAGTACTTGAGTTCCAAAATTTAATTGATAAGGTGCATGTTTTCTTATTTAGAGGAGATTAAATCATCTTTCATTACTTAAGTTGTTAAACGAACCTATAGCTTAAATTAATGGTTTACTAGCTAAGCGTAAGGCTTGGTCTCCTCCCGCTGTTTAAAGAAGTAAAAAGAAAAAAAAAAAAAAGGGGCCTGGTGTCCTCCTAAGTAAATCCTAGTTCTAATTGCCCCTTGTTAAAAATATATATATACTAACTTAAGTTAGGAACCCCAATAACTTTTTTTTTTTTTTCTGTTTTGATATTATCAATTACTCATCTAACTACTAGTTGTAGATAATTATTTATTTAATTATCTAGTAAAATTTAATTTTTTAAATATATTAACTTTAAAAAATAATGAGTTTTGAAGTATATGTAAACTAATTAAAAGATACTCTAACAGTGCAAAAAAACAAAAGGGCATGTTCTTCCATCATCAAGACTCGAGTTGTAATCTAATACTCACACCCAATAAAGAAAATACAAATAAGACCAATACGCTTATTGATTTTGGAGGTCATGTGGCAGACCCCACTAAGTGCGTATATGAGGAGTATGTCAATAAAAAAGAAACAACTAATTTTAAGCATAAAAAAACACTACTAGTAATTTCTTTGGCACAAATAAAGAAAAAAAAAACACTAATTAAGAAATGAAAAATTAAGGAATTTTATGGTGTTCAAAAATAATAATAACCATAAAGATGCCAAGGAAAGTAGGAAACTCAAAAGAGAACACACACGTAGACTCAAAAAACAAGCAAGGGAAATATTGATTGGTGAGGTAGAAATAGGAAGATAAAGAGGGAGGGTATATTAATGCAGGGACACAGAAGACATACTCAAGTGCTTATACCCACGCAGCTGTCATTCGATATTACAATCCCACCCATCTCTCCATACAGCAAATTAGCGTTTGCAGCTGTCGGGCATCTCTCTCTTCTCCCCCTTTTCTCTATCTCTCTGTCTTTTATTCAAACCAATCCATCAAATAATAACAACTGCAACAAACTTCTTCACCTCCTTGAACTCCCCTCTTCAATGATTCTACAGATATAGGACCCCAGCCGGCCCCTACCCCGATCGTCCACTTCATGAACACGAAGTTAAACAACGAGGGTTTACTTGGATATATCATCTGGCTCTACCTCTCTAAGCCAAGTTTAGATGAGTTTCATGCATAACAAGATTTCCCATTTTTAGATGAATTGCGCCATGGCCAATTACTCGCATTACCGATCACAGTTCGGTGACACCACATATACTAAAGTGTTTGTTGGAGGTCTAGCTTGGGAGACGCCCACCGAAGAAATGAGGAGGTATTTTGAGCAGTTTGGGGAGATTCTTGAAGCTGTTATAATCACGGATAAGAGCACAGGAAAATCTAAAGGATACGGATTTGTAAGTTACATATATCGGTGCATTCAGAATGTTCAGTGTTTTCTTAATTTGGAGAATTCTTGATTCTTGATTTTTTTTACTTTTAACTTTTCAGGTGACTTTTCGTGATCCTGAATCGGCGAGGGGGGCTTGTGCTGAACCAAACCCTGTGATCGATGGAAGAAGAGCAAATTGTAACATTGCTTCACTAGGACGGCCGAGACCTTCGCCGCCACGAGGTCCACTCTTTTTTCTATGGATTAATTAATTGTTTTAAGTTTATACATGATGATATGATCACTTATACATTGTTTTGTGCAAAAATGGTATTTGTGTTTAATGTAGGTAGAATTCAGGGTAGCAGTCCTCATCATGGAGTAGTCCAGCGGGTTGCTCCGTCGTACAGTGGAGTTGCAGGGGCAATGCCACCGCCTCCTCCTCCGCCACCCCCACCTCCGCCTGTCATTTATCCTCCATATGGGTAAGTTTATTAAGTCACTATTGCCCTTTTGCTTATATGGAAAATGGTCCAGCCTAAAACTTTCTGGCATGGAGACTAAATGCCATTTTTAATTATGTTTATCTTTTCTCTAAATACACAAATTTGATATGAGCTGTAAACAATAAATAAATCATATAATGTATTAGGTAGTTTGTCACCAAAAAGAAAAAACAGAGCATGCTAATTAATACTAGATGTCATTAACTCAAATTAAGTCAGAGTACGTAATAGCTTCTTCCAAAAGTTCTAAATGTGCACCTCTAGCTTCTAATCATCTTCAATTTAAAAACCACCTATGGTAGTGAAGCAGGTGGCAATGCGACCTGACTTCCCATGACTGGTGCTGTTAGATTCAGTGTTTGTAGTAAAAGATTTATGTTTTTCAAGTCAAACTGTATAATAAAAATGTAGTTTGTATTAAAATTATTAAAATGTGATCAATGAAATAATATAATAAAGAGTTTTATTAAAAATATTTTAATAAATTTATAAGATAAATTATATTTTTATTATATAGTCTTTTTTTGAAAAATGCTTTTCTGTTGTAGTAATATCTACTTGGTTTGTTGTACAATTAGGAAAAAATGATTGTTGAAGAGCAACAGGAATTAAAATTGATTAAAAAAAGGTTAATTAATCTAAATCTATTTCCAAATATAAATTGAAGATAATTTAATTTGAGTTCGAAATAATAGTCAGAGTACTAGGGTTAGTAAAAACTAGTGGCCCAGACCACGGTTGTGCTACATTGTACTGTCTCTATGGGGTCCAATTAACATTTTTAGTCCTATTAATATGGTCTGATGTATTACATTGTACATAGGGGTAGTCCAATTTATTATTTTAGCCCTATTACTTAATATATATGTTCTTATGTATGAGTTGATCTGTACATAGGGGTGGTCCAATTTCCATGATTATGGTTTTCTTTCTTCACCCTTCTCTCATACATAACACCAACTGAAGTTCAAATGAATTCTACTCTTACAGATACCCAACCTACACTCCTGAGTATGGTTACCACCAAGTAAGGATATACAAACACCTCTGAAATTTTCTTCACAATTTTTTTTTTTTTTGGCCATTAATAAATTTTTAATTAATAAGTAAAATAATGTGTGGGATGGAATGGTACAAATGCAGGCACTGTATAACCCACAAATGCAGCAACCACAATACTATCCATCTGCCCCATATTACTATGGGTATTCTTTGCAAGCTGCTCGGGGAACATATTCTCCATCACAGCCACAACGCCCGTCCTATCTTTTCTATCCTACTTCTCAAATGGAGGGGTCCTCCTCCACCTATGCTCAGCCACATTTTCAACTCCCTTGCCATCCGTTTCCTTCTTCTTCTGGTAAGCATATTTCATATTTATCATGTTAGTTCAAAATTAGTTGTCACACTTTCACTTTTACACATAATATTTCTAAATGAGATAGATAAAATTAACTATATATGGTAAGTACTGACTTTCTCTTCATAATTCCTCTCTTGCTAGTCTCTAGGCACATACATATGTTGGCTGGGACAGATAAAGATTAAAAATTAGGGATTTGTGAATCATATGATATGAGTCATGAGGGGCCACATGGGCTAGAGGAACCATGTGGAGTGAGCTGTCTGGTTATTGGCCATGACCCAAATGATGGGTCAATAGAAAGCACTGACAGAGGAGCATAGTATGTAAACAAATAGTGACTGCATGTGGTTTCAGTATCATAAGATGATGGTTGTTTCTGAATTTCTAGGATGCAGTCATGTGATCGAGTATAGAAAAGGCCCCCAACCTAGCTAAGATAAATACTGCCTATGTGATAGTTAAATTAGATAAAAATATGTACCAATTATAAAACCTCAAAACTTAATGCCATTAGCTATGTTTTGATTGTCTTAGTCTACTGCTACTATATTCAGGGGCAGTATTAGGATAGGACTCAGGATAAGACCTGCCATCTTCTTAAGAATTTTTTTCTTTCTTTTATAACTTTTGAGCAGAGTAGGCTCTATGCCCAAGATGTGTATTAATTAACAAGGCAAAGAACGAATCAATAAAAATTTGACTAAATTAATGTTGATTAATTTATAAATATTAACTTAAAGTTAATATAAGGGATTCAATCCTTTGTAATTCTAAGTTACTAACTTTTAATATACCAAAATCAACTTGAAGAACAAAACCCTGTCTGTACTAATCTTTTGAAAGATTGAGAGTAGTAGGTTATTAGCAAAATTTCACAGTACCATTAATTATTGCATGGTTGAAAGGGCCCTCTTTCTTGGTGAATCCAAGGTTCCAGTGCAGTATCTCTGTTGAAGGTAGACAACTACTTACAATAGATACTGTCTTCTCATGGTACCCCATTTTCACTGATTTTGTTCACAGATTCACAGGGTTCACAGCCCACCTCCACAGAAAAAGAAGCTGGACCAGCCACCTCTGATCAAAGCCCAAAAATCTAAGGGAAGAAGAAATCATCCACAATATACACATGGACTGCCAATTGTACAATCTCTGACGAGTTTAAATATCATCACTTCCCTTCCCTTCGCCTTCTCAGTTTCTCTCTACCACTTAAACATATTCATTTTTTTGTTCTTATTTTCCTTCCTTTCTCACATTTCCTCAAAAAATTTTATTAAACTTATTCATTCTTTTAAGAGATTAACATCTTCGTCAGAATTTTGTATGAACTATGCAATGAAAGGAGGTTGAAGTTCTTCCTCTCCATAAAAAATTTTGGTCGAGTAATTCAGGCGT